GTCCTGGTCCTGTTCCCACTGACAGGTGGTCATTCATGGAGGAAATGGTATGGTTTTCAGGCAGCCTGAGCTCTGTGTTTTGGTGAAAGACAACCATTTGGCCTGTACACAGTGCTGCTCCCTGCCAGGCCCCCTGAGAAAGCATCAGCAGCAGATCCTCTCACAGAAAAGCCGCTCAGGTCGTGATGTTGTGACATAGGAGTTAGTAGCCCCAGAGGACTCAGCCTCAGGCTAAGCACCCAGGGCTCAAGGTACACAAGCCCTGTGTTTGACACAGCTGGGTCTAGGCCCTGTCTCCTGGTCCATTGGTATCTGCCAGAAATATCCTGGGGTGGTGCCCCGAGAAGGAACCCCCCCCCACTTTCTCTCCTTCTCCTCCCCTTCTCTCTTGCCTTTCCTTCCTCTGTCTGCCCCCCCTCTTTCTGTCCCCCTCCCTCTTCTTTCTCTCCCCCTTCACGTGTGTGTGTGTGTGTGTGTGTCTGTGTGTGTGTGTGTGTGTGTGTGTGTGTGTGTGTGTGTGTGTTGTAGAATGTAGCAGCTGTTGCTCCCTGAATTCTTGGTGTGGAGCTTGTCCCAGCAGAGGCTGGGAGTTGACCTCTCTCCCTAGTAATGCCACCTTAACATCCTAGACTGGATCTAGTCCCTGGTGCCCTTCTTAAAATCCTTCAACATGACATACTTCTGGTACTTCCTAGAAACCGCTGTTAACTGGGAAGGAAGTTCCCCACGATAGCCACCGGGGATTATCAAAACTCACCAGGAAATGGTTCTAAATTCTACTTGTTCTGTTCTACCAGGTAACCATGCACAGGAAACCTACTACTTGGTCTCTTTGGGATCCAGTGGGGCCAGGCAGTCAGCTTTGATCAACAGATTGTGGGAAATTTGTGAGCCAATAAGATACGTATCACTTTGGGGTTATAATATCGCCTACCTGAGGGAAACCGCCATTGCATCTGCATCCATACCCTGTAGTGGTGTTGGTAGCAGATGAGTAGTGAGCCTGCATCCTGGAAGAACGGGAAGGGACTAGCCACTCTAGCCACACCGTGGAAGAGGTTTGTTTGCATGAGGAATGGTATTTCAGATCCTTATGCCTTAATTGGTTACATTACCTGCAGTGACATTTCCCTGAGTCATGCAAGGTGGTCTGTATTAGAAAGAGAAGTGATGGGACAGAACAAAGCAGAGATACTCTTTCATATATTGATTCTAAAACAGATATGCAAATCATGCCAATCCTTTTCAGGCTCTAAAAAAATCTGTATATTCCCAAAGACATCTTTCTTTTTTTTTTTTTTTTAAGAAAAAGAGTGAAAGATAGATCAGTCTGTCATGCAAACCGCAGTTGGATCCCCAGCAACCATATAAAAAAGCTAAGCGTGGCCATGGCTCCTTGTTCAGTTGTGTATAACTCTGCCTTCCTGTTCAACTGTAGAGAACAAACATATGCTGAACTTTTGGTGCTATGGCTTCTCCATCAGGGAGCCCAGAGCTCCTCATTCCCTGCTTTTCTGTGTTCCTGTGTCTTAGTCACTGTCCCATTGCTGTGAAAGAGACACAATTGACAAAGTGACTCTTATGAAAGAGAGCATCTGGTTGGGAGCTTGTTTACAGTTTCAGAGGCTTAGTCCATAGCAGAGAACACGGTGGTACACATGGCACTGGACCAGTAGCTGAGAGCTACATCCTGATCCACGGACGGGTAAGAGCTGACACTGCCTGGCTTGGACTTTTGAAACCTCAAAGTCACCAGTGACATACACCTCCCCTGACAAAACCACACCTACTCCATCAAGGCCACACCTCCTAGTCCTTCTACTCCTTTCAAATAGTGTCATGCCCCGGTGACTAAGCCTTCAACTATATGAGCCTATGGGGGCCATTCTTATTCGAACCACCACACAACTATGTATCACAGACTGCCCAAGCTGACACATGATACTATTCTCCTCTATCTGCTATCAACCAGATACTACCCTAAGTCACAGTCAATTGTCAAACAGGGACAATAGCAAAGTAAGGTTCTGCCTAGCATGGTGCAGCTGATGCCTTGAGAGCAACCCAAAACAAACTCACTCCAGAAGAGAAGGCCATCTTTGGGCAGGCTGTGACACACAGTTGTGTGGACAAACACTAGGCTAGATGTTGCTGTGAAGGCAATTCATAGATGTGGATAAAACTGATACTTAAAAATTAATTTAGCTATAATTGCCTTTCGAAGATGACTTCAAGTATGTACCTTGAAATTATAGTGGCACTCATCCAGTCAGCCCAAGGTCTTAAGGACAATCTAGGTTCCCTGAGGACAGAGACATTTTGCCTCAAATTAAATGACACACCCTGCCTCAGTTTCCTGTTTGTTTGTTTGTTGGCCTGCCCCATGGATTTCAAACCTGCCTCACAGGTTTTGGACTTCCCAGTAATTAAGTGCACTGATTTCTTAGAATAAAGAAGCTAGCGATTCCTTTTCTACCGACCAATCAATCTATACATCCATCTCCTACAGACTCGATTTCTCTGGGATTCTTGGCTGATACAAACAAGTAATTTTCTTTATATTCTTTATATTAAACATTGAAGTTTAGGGGCCCGGTTAACTTGATATTACAGTGAAAGCGATGGTAGGGATGTGGTTAGAAACACAGCTACTCCTGCCAATTTTACAAAGACACCCTAAAGCAATGACACTTTTGTTAAGTTTACAGAAAGCATCTGATGAAATTTGTATATCAAAACGTATGGGAAATTCCTCATGCTGTGGACTGGAAAAAATTGAGCCTTCTGTTATGAATGACCATAGTTTGAGTTTTATAGAATGATAAGTTGTTGGAACTGGAAAGAAACTCTAAGAGTCTTTTCACCATATTCCCCATTTCCCTCAAGCTGAGAGATACTGGGGGACTTGCCTGGCTCAGAGGGCTGGGCTGACATTAGGACTCCGGCCTCTTGTCCCCTGTGTTACAGTGATGTCAGGATGATATACTGGGATTGGCTGAGCCAAAAGCTCATGCTCACCTAGCCTCAGGGTGCTGCCTGCCAGAACACCAGTCTACTTTATGAGCTGCTGCAAGTCAGTGGGTACTGCCAATGAAGGAGACATCATGGACAAAGACCTTTTGGTGTCCCCTGGACTTATCTCTTAAACCTAATGGAGGGGACAGTGAACAGAGAGCAGAGTGAAAGAATGCCTGCTGTGTTCCAGCTCTGCATTCTGGAACGCAGCTGTGGTGAGGAGCGACAGTCCAGTGAAGGTTAGTTCACTCAACAAATGCACTTAGCGCCAGCTGGTGGAAGACAGTACTACCTGTTTCACAAACTACACAGGGGACTTCAGGACAAAGAGCTAGAAATGTTTGTTGACACAAGTCCAAGACTGCCCATGGTTTGCCCTCAGCAGCTCACAAGGCTGGTGGATTGCATCTCTGGGAAAACAGTCCTGAGTGCAGAGGGCTGTATTCCCACCTCTGTCTACCTCCTGAAGACAGCCAGCTGTGTCTCAGGACAAAAGCAGCAAGGTGGAAGGGAACAGGTTAAAAACTGAACTGGTTTTCAAACACTCACGGATGTAAAAACACAGCATCCATATTTCACTTCACAGGGTGAACGCCCGCCTGGTTTTACAAGGGGAGGCCAGCCTCTTGCTATCAAGCCCACATGTGACAGAGGCAGCTGAGAGTGTCACCTATGAAGAGGAGTTTGGATCATTGCTGGGGTATTCCTAGGTTTCAGGAGAGGTCTGAAGGTTCTTGGAAGCTGAACAATAGGACCTGAAAATTAGGGCTGGGGATGTCCTGAAGAGAGCTGACATCACCTCAAACGCATGAGGCACACAGGGTGCTTAGGAAACCTGGCTAACACACTGGAATCCAGAGCCTGATGAAATACAGAAATGTCCTAAAGCAGCTGCAGAAAATGGGAAAACCAGGATAACCGCTAAACTTACTGTGCAAACAACCTCAAGACAGCCCAGCAGCAAGGCTAGATCATGCTGGAGTATTTTTGGATAGTACCTTTGATAATATGCAATTATAAGGCATCTGACCTTTCAATTTTATTTTACTGAAAACCACAGCCACTAGAATATTCTGCATTAGTTTTGTGGCTTGAATTTCATCTGGAGAGCACTGATGTATAAAAAAGTGGAGTCTGATCCCGGCTCCTCATCACCTAGCTACTGGCCACCAGGACCAGCTCATTGACTCAAATCTTTTATAAAATAAGATAGCTGAAAAATGTCATCCATATCTACTAGCAGATTGGCATCCTCATTTTTCCCCCTAGTTTTTTTTTTTTTTTTCTTCAAGAAACAAGTCCTTCCCATATGGCTGAACAGGTTGCAAACTGCACAAGAATGACACATCCAAGGGACAGGGTGCTGTTCATACCACAGATATTGCAGATTTGTTTATTTTTCACTGTCGTATCCTGGAAAAAAAAAAGTGAAAAAATCTCCCCCATCCCTCCTTCCAGTCTGGCCCCCTCTTTTTCCCCCTTTTTTTTTTTTTTTTTTTTTTCTTCAAGAAACAAGTCCTTCCCATATGGCTGAACAGGTTGCAAACTGCACAAGAATGACACATCCAAGGGACAGGGTGCTGTTCATACCACAGATATTGCAGATTTGTTTATTTTTCACTGTCGTATCCTGGCACATGGCAGTGAGAGTCTTGTTCTGACAAGATGGGTATATTACAATGAGCTTCTAAAACAGGAGGGACCATGGCACATGGATGAGGGACATGCCACTTTCTGACTCACACAAAAACTGTAGCGGGATTGTTGGCCCTGGCGGAACCCTGAGGCTTGCTTGCTTCTTCTCTAATGAGCTGCCTTCTTGTTTGGCCTTTATCCCTGCCAGAGGCCTGGTGTACACAGAGGAAGGGCTTCAGTGAGCACACCGCGAAGCCTCGATCGTCCAAAGCACCACCGGCTACCGTGTGCGAGGGACCCGATAACCAGCCAGCTCCAGGCTCGGGGCTGGCCCAGGATGGTCCACTTACCTTTTCATTTTTCTTGTCATCTGGCTTGTACCCTGTGTTGATGGGGCTGGGTATGGACAGGCCACTGATGGGTGTCCCTCCGGCCTCCCCACTGAGGCTGGCAGCGCTGACATTGGGAGGTGTGATGGCTGATGCTGCTGACGGGGAAGGAATGGCTGTCCGGGGACACATCTGCGTCGTAGGGGGCTGCTGGCTGTGCTGTGGGGACACCACGGAGCGGGGTCGGAGGCTGGTGGCGGGCAGGCGGGATGGAGACGTCTGAGTGCGCAGGGGCGACACGGTGGCGGTTGGTCGGTCCAGGGCCTGGGCTGAGGGATGGGCAGCTGGAGAGATGATGGAATGACAGATTAGCACGTAAGGCCATGCGATGACAGTGCATGCTCTTCTCGGGCTTGGCCAATGACCTCTGAGGGCTCTGAATCCTCCAGACTTGGCTACCTTCGATAGAGGAGAAGCTGACATTGATTGTCTTTACTCTGACTCAGCACAGTCCTTATCTGAAGCATCCCAGGGCATGCCAGGCCATATTAACCCATGAGTGTCTCCTCATATTTTTTATCACACTTACTGTAATGATTTTCTTACCACCAAAACTTGTATTATTCCTGGCATCAGAAATATGAGAAAAATGCACAACATAAGTAATATCCTCAGGCTCCAACATGCCACGACTATAAAATGCACTTGGAAATCTTAACATGTCTGTAGGTTAGAGGCCTCTCCACACCACACTCCAGGCTTTTGACTGTAAGCTGGCCCTTCCTCTGACACCGGCTAGGTCTGACATCTGCTGTGGTGTCTTAAGGCTACTGGAGATCCTGTATATATAAGGCAATATAGAAAAAGGCTTGGGGTATGGGTTTCTTTAAAGTAATTATTTGAGTTTTCAGGGGGGTGGGAACCTAGCGTTTGAACACCCTGGACAATACACCTCATATCCTGAGGGAAAGGCCCAGTGATTATGCAAGATCAATGAAGCCACTGAGGTCATTCATCACTCTGTGACTCTTGACTAGGACCATGGGCTCCTAGGCTTTGCCTCCTTCCAGAACCCTCCTTTACCCCAACCTATCAGTCCTTTGAGAGGAAGTGACGGCAGCCAGCCCAAAGGCATTGCCTTGGAGCCCCAGAAACTCTTGTCTCTAGGGCTGCTCAGGGCATCCCATGCAGCCTCATGTGCTGCCTTCTAGAAAGATAGATCCAGTCAATGAAGATGCGCAGTGTGACCACCATCTGAAATTTTGAATTGTCTCCTCCTATAGATACTTAGCACCACTTACCAGTCTATATAGTTCATTCATTTATCATCATATGTCAGTTGTTCCTTGTCTCTCAATTACACTGTCAGCTCAGCTCTGGGAGGCTGGGGACAATGGCTGTTTGATTCACTAATATAATACATTCCACATCCCTGGAATGGTGCCAGGCATGTAGAAGGTACTTAATATAGTTTTTAATGAATGAGTGATTACTTGAGAAGAGAGAACTCCCAGCTGAAGCATCACTAATCATTTCATAGAAATTAATCATTAAAGAAGAAAAAAAGGTGTCCAACAATACAGGCATGGCTCATTGCACAGGCTGCCTGGATTCTGACTCACCAGTGATCCTATTAGTTAGCAATGCCAAAGCAGATGCATAGTCTTTGAAAACTGAAACCTGCAGTAAAGTCTGGAAGAGAACACACCTTCCCAAGGCTGGTCCTCCTCCCTTCTGGTCTGTTGATCTTTGGTTTGCACTTTGGTGGCGCCAGGGTCTTTTCACTAACAACAGTCCTCCCCACTCAACTCCCTGATCTGTCCCCAGTACCTGGAATCACCCTGGAACTCATCCCGTTCTGGAATATTCTCTGTGACTATGCTTTTGACGCTTCTGTCTTTGGTCACTCTATTTTCTGTCTAGAAAGCCCCATCATGAGCAGTGTGAGCACCCCAATCCACCCTCTAGCTGATGCTGCTCTTTGAACCCGTGCATCTCTGTCCTGTTATCCTGGCATATCCCTTTGTACAAGCACAATATGAAATTTATACACTCCACAGTCCATGCTACCCACATAGTTTTCTTTTCCCAAATTTAAAACCAGATGTCTTTCCTATCTGGCTGCGTCTGACCTAACGGACATTTCATTTCCTCCCCGCACAGCTCCTGCTTTTTCTTTTCCTTCTTTGGTGGATTTTATTCCTTGGAAGCCCTTCCCCTGCCCCTCTATGTCTGTCTGTGTCTGATTTCTTCATTTCCTGGTTACTTTTTATGTGTTAGTTCCCCTCCTGTGCTTTGGAGTCTTAGTGAGCCAATTCACCCCCAACTGTTTTCTCCAGATGAGGTGCCCACCCTGGGTCTTCCAACTAGTTCTGTGGCTCTTCTTTGTGTACAGTTTCTTCCAAATTGAAACATTTTCTCTCAGAGGGACACAGGGAAACTTGTTTTTGTATTATTTACTCAAGAAGTAAACAAGGCCTCCAAGTCTCAGAAAACCGAAACTTAAAAGGTTCATAAGGCCCAGGCAGCCAGTAGGTCACATGAGCAGTATGGTGGGGCAGAAGAGACTCTTGGATGGACTGCGCAGGGAGCTGCAATCGTTCAGAGCTCTGGAGTCCTTCACCCATGCTTGGGGCTTTTTGTGATGTAACTGCTATGGAGTCATTCGTGTGCCTGTAAGTAACCCCTCACCCGTGCTTTGTTAAGTATGCCCAGTAAGTTAATTTGTTCGCCAAGTTTAACGTTGAACTGCCCTTGGTGTTTGTTATTTAGGGTTGGAGAGGAGGGGCGGGGAGTTCAAGGGAATCCAACTGTCCTCCAGTCAGTAGGTAGTGAATACTGCAGTGGGGCACTGTGGTACTTGACTTTAATCCCAGCACTTGAGAGGCAAAGGCAGCCTGAGTTCTGTGAGCCAGAGATCAGCTACATAGGGAGCTCCAGGCCTGCCAGGGCTACATATGAGACCCTTTCTCAACAGAACAAAACATCCCCAGCAAACCAACAAACACTGCAGGAAGAAGGCAGAATGGTTTGGGCGGGTCTAAAATAGTTATGATCCTCCGAGGGAAAGCACAACCTGTTCGTTCTTATACAGTCAGTTCTAAGAGAGAATAGGCTGGTCCAAGGTCAGCTGATATCACCTAAGAGACTAACCAAGAAATAAACAAATCTGTGCATGTTCAATCCGGATGCTTTTCCCCTTAAATCTTTTTGATTTGTTACTATTGGACTCACAGCTCTGGAGGGTGGACCCTATATAGAAATACAATTTTTTTTTGTATAATGAATTTTGTATTTTGCAATGCTGAATTCATTTTTAAATTGTAGGGGTGTGTGTGTGTGTGCGAGAGCGCACACGCACGTGCCCACAAATGCACATTCGAATTCCTTAGGGTTTTTTGTCTAAGATCCTTGTGTCTACAACTGGAAGTTTCACTCCTTCCCCCCCTATCTGATACCTTTCCATTCCATGCCAGCAAGGACTTCCAGAGCAGAACTGAACAGAACTGAACAGAAGCAAGGGGCCGTCTTTCTTCTCTAAGGAAAGCATCTGGCTCTCACACCAGGTGTGAGGGCAGCATCTGTGTGTTCTCATAGAGACAGTAAGGAAAGCGTCCAGCTCTCACCACCCAGCCCGAGAGCAGCAGCATTTGTGTATTCTCTCAGAGGCTTTCATCACTCAGGGTGCACTGCGCCCTCTCATTTTCTAAAGTTCCTTAAATAAGGAGGAGATACTGGGTTCTGGGAAGTACTTTTTTGTTTTTGAGATAATCACATTATTTTGGTCATTATTGAGATGAAGTACATAAATTGTTCATGTTAATCCAGCCTTGCACTCCTGGGATAACCCCACGTGGGGTACTGCCCTTCCCATTTGCTGCCCAATTAAATATGGTCTGTGATCTTATCATCTTATAATTTTTTAAAATTAAAGCAACACTGGCTTTATGGAAAAGGACAAGAAATATTGCCCTCCCCCTCAATTTTCTAGGCAAGTCCAGAAAGTTGTTTTATTACTGCCCTTCTGTTTTATATTTGAATTTAAATGTTATAATTTCTCCAATGAAGTCACATATCCCCAGAACTTCCTTTGTGGGTTTTAAAACTAGAAACTCAGTTTCTTTTGTAGATACAGGCCTGTTCAAGCTATATCTTGATGAATATGTCCAATGATTTATGACTTTAAGGACTATGTGAATATGTCTGTTTCATCTATCAAGTGAACTTATGCACACAATGATTTTACAAAAACTTCTTATTATCTGGTAGACTCCAAAATGATGCCACTTATGTTCTTTCTGGTGATGTTGACGTTCATGTTTTTCTCTTTTTACTTAGTGCAGGTGGCTGGAGGTTTATTAATTTGATTATTGACCTTCTCAAATGACTTTCTTTTAACTTAGTCAATTTTTTTTTTTTTCGAGACAGGGTTTCTTCTGTGTAGCCTTGGAGCCTATCCTGACACTTGCTCTAGAGACCAGGCTGGCCTCGAACTCAGAGAGATCTGCCTGCCTCTGCCTCCCGAGTGCTGGGATTAAAGGCATGCGCCACCAACGCCCAGCTAGCTTAGTCAATTTTACTACCACTTCTGTTTCACTCTACCGATTTCTTTCCACTCCCTTGCAGTTCATCACTCCACTTAGCCTAGAGGCTATTATGTGGGTAAACTTCTATGTTTCCTCTCCTAGATACGCCATGCTGTAAATTCCCTCTCAAAGATTGCACTGGCTGCACCGTACACATTTTTGATATGTGTGTTCCTAGTTATTCGTCTCAAAATGGTTTCTACTTTTATTTCTTCCTTGACCCATTGATCACTTGAAGTATGTTATGTTTTCAAACAATTATTTGTCATACTGGTTTCCAAGTCAACTCCACTGTGGTTAGGGATGTAGTCTGTATGACCCAAGTCCCTTTACATGTACTGAGATTTTTACATATCATGGCCCAGCTCTGGGTTAACACGGCAATGTTATGTGTTCACTTGAAAATAATGTGTATTTTGATGTTGACAGGTAGGATATTCACTAAAAGCTAATTAAATTAAGTGGTTATGGCTGTACTAATGATCTATACTATTACCCATAGTTGATACAATTTTGAGAGCGACTGCAATCTTACGTTTGTGGATTTGTCTATTTCTGTCAGCAGCTGTATCTGTTGTTGTTTATGTATTTTTGAGGCTTTATACATTGGTGCATCAATACTAAGAATTTTTATGCCATCTTACTGAGCACAGACTTTGCTTTTATGTAGTTGTCATTATCCCTAATGATTCATGGCTATAAATTCTCCTGTCTGACATTAGTAGATCAATTTTCTTTCAATTAATATTAATATTAGC